GAGACAGCAGAAGATTATGGATGGGAAGGGCAAGGAGGAGGCAGGGAAATGAACACATTCAACTCACTGACAACATTCAAGACCGTAGGGTTGATTAGGTCAGAGGTAATACCTACAGGCTGTAGGAACAGCTATTAGGGATAAAAGTACCACAGGTTCTTTTCTTGCCGCAGGAGCGGCAGTGGGGCAATGTTTCCACAACTGTGTGGAATCACCAAAGCTGCAGAGTGAGTGTGACATGTGTGACCCTGCATCCAGTGGAATGACAATCAGCACTCAGTCCAACAGAGTTAACCCTTCCACAGGAAGCCAGGGGAATTTTAAAATGGACTATAAAAAAGGACTAATAAAATGTGGGAGCTCCCAATATTCAGGCTTCAATAACCTGCTCACAAAAGTAAATCTTCAGAAAGAGCAAGCGCAAAATGGTACAAGCTCTAGACCAGGAAGCACCTTGCAGCGCATCTTATCCAGAAAAGCACAGTGCTCAAGATTCCCTTAACAGGCTCTCCCAGAAATGTCACAATCTCCAGTGGGGCCTGGTTCTGGCCAAATTTCAAGAATAAAAAACAACTGTGCTAGGATAAGCTGCAGAAATGCAAACAGCCCATCCTGCGTAGCTACATTGGCTATGAAATCATTTATTAAAAACAGGAAAAAAAAAAAATGTTACTAGGAGGGGGAGGAGGGAGTAGGGCTTTCAGTTCAGGGGAGTCCAAACAGGAGGAGGAGAAGGAGGAGAGATGAGAAGTAGGATGAGGGTAGGAGGTAGGGATGAGGGAGGGGAGGGGAGGGAGGCAGGGAGAGGGAGGAGGGAGAAGGAGGGGGAGGGGGAGGGAAGGGAGGAGGAGGGAGAGAGGAGGGAGAAGAATGGAAGGAAGAGAGGAAGGAGGAGGAGAATGAGGGAGGAAGTAGGAGAGGAGGGAGGGAGAAGGGAGGAAGGGAGAGGAGGAGGGAGGAAATAAGGATAGAGGAAGAGCGGGGGGAGGGGATGGCAGGGAAGAGGAAGGGAGAAGGAGGGAAGAGGGAGGAGAAGAGGAAGAGGGAAGAGGGAGGAGGGGAGGAGGAAGAGGTTGGTTTGAGGAAGAGGGTAGAGGGGGAGGGGTAAGGGAAGGGGAAGAAGAGAGAGGAGAGGGAGGAAGAAGGGAGGAGAAGGGAGGAGAGAGGAGGACCAGGGAGGAGAGAGGAGAGAGGGGGAAAGAAGGAGAGGAGAAGGGGGAGGGAGGAGGGGAGGGGCGGGGAGGACAAGGGAGAGAGGGGAGGAAGAAGAGGAAGGGGGAGAAGGAGAAGGGAGAGAGAAGGAAAGGGAAGAGGGGGGGAGGGAGAGGAGTGGAGAGAGAAGGGAAGGGGGGAAGAGAGAGGAGGTAGGAGGAAGAGGGGGAAAGAGGGAGGAGAGGGGAGGAAGGGTGGAGGGAAGGAGGAGAAGAGGAGAGGGTAGAGGGAGGAAGGGGAAAGGAGGGGAGGGGAGAAAAAAGGGGAAGGGGAGGGGTGAGGGAGGGGAGAGAAGGAGGGGAGAGGGGAGGAGAGGGAGGGAAGGAAGAGGGAGAGAATTGGAGGAAGAAGAGGGAGGAGAAGGAGGAGAGAAGGGAAAGGTGGAAGGGGAGGAGAAGGAGGAGGGGGGGAGAAAAGGGAGGGGGGAAGGAAGAGAAAGAGAGGAAGAGGAGAGGAGAAGGGGGAAGGGAAGGGGGGAGGGGGGGGGGGAAGACTCGGGGGGGAAGGGGGAGGGAAGGAAGAAGGAGAGAGGGGGAGAAGGAGAAAGGAGGGGAGAGGAGAAGGAGGAAGAGGGAGGGGGGGAGGGGGGAGAAAAGGAGGAAGAAGGGTGAAGGAAGGGAGGAGGAGGGGAAGAAGGAGGAAGGGGGGGAGGGAGAGGAAGGGGGGAAGGGAAGGAGGAAGGGGGGGGGGGGATGGCAGGAGAAGAGGGAGGAAGAGGAAAAGGAGGGGGGAAGGGGGGGAGGGGGAAGGAGAAATTGGGAGAGGGGGGGGGAGTAGAAGGAGAGAGGGGGTGAAAGAGAGGAGAAAGAGGAAGGAGGGGGACGGAAGAGGGGAAGGAGGAGGGAAGCGTGAGGAAGGGGGAGAAGAGAGGGATGGAAAGAAAGGGGGGGAAGGGAAGGGGTAGGAAAGAAGAGAAAGCAAGAGGGAGTGAAGGGGGGGGGAGAAAGGGAGAGGAGAGAGATGGCTGGGGGGGAAGGAAGGAAGGGGAGGGGAATGGGGGGAAGGGGAGGGAAGGGGGGAAAAAAGAGGAGAGGGAGGGGTCAGGGGGAAGAAAGAAAGAGGAAGAAGAGGAACTTGAGAAAGTGGGGAAGAGGGAGGGGAGAGGAAGAGGAGAGAGGAGGGGGGGAAGGGGAGAGGAAGGGAAAGAAAGAGGGGAGAAGGAGGGGGGAAAAGAAAAGGAGGATAGAAGAGGGAAGAAGAAGGGGAAGAGGGGGGGGAGAGGACAGAAGATGGGGGAGGGGGGGAAAAGGAAAGAGGGAAGAGGGGAGGAGGAGATAAGGAGGAGAAGAGAGGAGAAAGGGGGAGGGAAGGAGGAAGGGGGGGGGGGGAGTAATAGAGAGAGAGGGGGAGAAGAAGGGGAGGAAAGAATGAGGGGGGGGAGAAGGGGAAGAAGAAGGGGGGAGAGGAGGAGAAGAGGGGGAAAGGAAAGAGAAGGAGGAGAGGAGAAGGGAGGGGGAGAAGTGAGGGAAGGGAAGGAGGGGGAGGAGAGGAAAGAGGAAGAGGAAGAGGAAGAAGGGAGGAAGAGAGGGTGGGGGAGGGGGAAGAGGGGAAGGAAGGGAGAGGGGGGGAAGGTGGGGAAGGAGGAAAAGAAAGGGGGGGGGAAGGAGAGGGAGTAGGGGGAGGAGAAAGAGGAGAAGGAGGAGGGAGGAAGGAGATGAGGAGGAAGGGGGGGGGGAAGGGAAGGGGATTCAAGGAGGGATAGGGAAGGGGGGGAGAGGGGGGGAGAATACGGGAGAGGAGGGGGGAGGGGGGGGAAGGGGGGGGGGGGGAGAGGGAGGAGGAGGGGAGGTGGGAGGGGGGGGGGGGAGGGGGGGGGGAGGGGGGAGGGGGGAGGGGGGGGAGGGGGGGAAAGGGGGGGGGGGGGGGAGAGGGGAGGGAGGGTGGGGGGGGAGAAGGGGGAGAGTGTTGGAGAAGGGGGAGGGGGGGAGAACAGAAAAGTGGGGGGTGTGAAGGAGGGGACAAGTGCGCGAAAACAGACATGCTGTTAATGGGTTGTGGGTCCAATGGGTTTATAACATGGCGGATCTGGCCTACAGCTTGCAAGCCAGTCTTCAATTCTCCTGTAGGCTGCAGTAGGCCAAAAGGTTCAATACTTTTTGTATCCTCAGAGGGGGGGGGGGGTGTTGGATGACAAAGAAAAAAATGCTTCTACATGACAGTCGGGAACAAGAGGTGCTGTATGTGCTAACTTCACTGGAATTTTGGTGCTTTAGGCAAGCAACATTAATACACAATACAAAATGACATCTGTTTGAATATAAACTACTTACCATGTGATTTTTTTTAGTTGTGTAGTGGGCTTCCTGTAGGCTAGTTAATAGTTGCAAGTACTACAGGCTAGAGAAAATTCACACTGAAAAAAATCTGTAAACTGCAGATACCAAGCTAGCTCTACAGCCAAAGTACTGGGCTTAGGAAAATGAAGCACCTTCATTACTGAATAAATAAGGTTTATAAAAAGCTATATAATGTGTAGATTGGAAATGTCAGACTTTTTTGTGACCTGGTCTCTTGTGCCTAAAATGAGATTATATGCTCCAACTTCTGCCACAAAAAAAAAAAAAAAAAAAAAAAAAAAAAAAAAAAAAAAAAAAAACACACATTCTTCATACAAATGCAGCATAAGACATTTTTGTATATACGCACACACACACACAATAAATATGAAACTTTGTGCAATTTCTCAGCACAACCCACAAATTACTTTCCCCACACATGTTTCAAAGCCATTTGTAAAACCAAAAGAAAGGGAAAAAAAAAAAAAGAAGCATTGATGAGTGCTACATGATAAGACAGTTAGCACCAGACTCTTGGAAATTAGTCTCTAACACGCAATCTCCAAGGAGAAATATGGTTCCAAACTCCAGGTTCCAAGAGAACATGAAGGACAAATAGGTAGGAAAACTGTTATTCATCTGTGTAATGGTGTCAAAATGGCTATTTTAGATACCTGGTACTGAGAACATATAGGCTGCCAAAAAGGAGTAGAAAGACCTGCCACACACAATACTCTGCATATCTCTTGTTAATTATATAGATCTGCTTATAGCCCAAAATTAGCTTATGAACAGACTGGACTAACAGACTGGGCTAAAACACCATGCTATATATGCATATAGAGAAACATTAAGACTACCAATGACACAAAAAAAAAAAAAAAACCCACACACAATACTAACACTTTCAAATGGAACCTTAGTACTATACAGAGTAGTTAAGGAATATGAGACATGGAACTGGAACCACAGATAGTCAAGGCTGTGTGTCACTCAAGTCACAAATATGGCACATTCTACACACACTTAATTCATCTCTCACTGAAGAAGACACATCCTCCAAGTATGGTGCAGTCACTGCTCACACCAGGAGCAGTATCAATCATACATGTTTAATTTAGAGATTAAAAACTTCAAAGCATTAAAAAAAAAAAAAAATAAAAAAAATAAAATATATGATAAAAAAGGAGTTACCGCACCTCTATGTTTTAAAAAGAGGAAACCCAAACCCTTCACAGAAAAAAAAAAAAAAAAAAAAATAATAATTCAAACCCACTCAGTCTCTTCCATATTAGATGTCACACTTTGGTTACCAGCTGCTCCCACTTGGTTAGGAGGAAGAGAAATCCAGGACTCAACCCCCAAAGCCTTAAGTCTTTTTTTCCTTTAGGAACCCCTGTGCACTGTTCCCTTCGGCTCTGAATGCAGTGGTGACAAAGCAGCAGGCGAGGAGGGCGGCAGAAGGTGCAGGTGCACGGCAACAACTGCTTCCCCACCCAATCTCAACTGCCTCAGGAATTCGGAGTTGGCAGAGTTATTTTCTTCAGTGGGGGAGGTCCGGAGGATGAGGAAGAAGCAGAAGATGCAGAGAAATTCATGTCTGAAAGTCCTGGGGGGTTTGGTAGCAGTGTTCTGACCACTCAGACTTTTCCTGCATACAGGACATGTATCATGCTGTAAAAGAGGAAAATGTCAGAACATAAGATTCTCAGTACATAGGAGTCTTGACCTTCAGTATAGAGTTTTTCGTAACGCATTTTCACTAAGATTTTGTAGCATGGAATTTGATAACTGAAATTTGAGTTTTACAATTGGTCAGCCTAACAGTAAAAAAAAAGAAAGAATAAGTTCACCCTTTTAGAAAAACAAATGCATTCATTTTTTGCAGGAAAAAAACAAACAAAAAAAACAAAAAATGTGCATTTTCTAAATTTTTTCTTCTTAGGAGTCCTGTAAAAAGCACTGGCAACAACGATCAGAAGATCTTCTTTTTCACAGGTGCAATGTTAGGATCCTGCTGACTGTCACTGTAAAACTGTCTGCTTGTACCTCAGATATGGGCAGTCATCTATATTTCAGCCCAGGAAGCTCAATCAACTACGAGTTTCTTTTGAGCACTCACCAGCACACCTCTCGCAGTACATTGAGAACTACCAAGCCATCAACCACAAAGGCTGATAGGACTTGTAGGCATTCACTCACAGAAGATCCCCGGGCCCACTGTCACACAGGGAATGGAGATCGGAGAGCGGGCACTTCCTTCAGGAGCGGGGACATGTTATGTTAAGTTACATGTTCCCTGAGGTGAGCTTCTTCGTTTAAAATGGAAGTTCAGTTACTATTCTCTAGCCTATTCTATCTATCTAACCCTGTAAAGAAAAGATCTACACTGCTGAAAAAAAATTGAAAGGAACACTTTGAAAACACATCAGATCTCCATGAGGAAAAATATCATGCTAGATATCTATACTGATATGGACTGGGTAATAGGTTAGGAACGCAAGGATGTCCAGTCGTTGATGGAAGTGAAAATTATCACCAAACAGAGGACTGAAATTCAAAGACACCTCGAAAATCAAAGCGAAAAAATGTATGCAGCAAGCTAGTCCATTTTGTTGAAATCTCATTGCAGCAACTCAAAAAAGGTACTCCGTAGTTTATATGGCCCACACTTGCTTGTATGCATGCCTGACAACATCGGGGCATGCTCCTAATGGAGACGATGGATGGTGTCCTGGGGTATTTTCTCCTAGATCTAGACCAGGGCATCACTGATCTCCTGGACAGTCTGAGGTGCAACCTGGCAGCATCGGATGGACCAAAATATGATATCCCAGAGGTGTTCTAGTGTATTTAGGTCAGGCGAGCGTGTGGGGGCCATTCAATGGTATCAATTCCTTCATCCTCCAGGATTTGCCTGCATACTCATGCCACGAGGCTGGGCATGGTCGTGCACTAGGAGGAACCCAGGACCCACTGCACCAGCGTAGGGTTTGACAATGGGTCCAAGGAGTTCATCCTTATACCTAATGGCAGTCAGGGTGCCACTGTCTAGCCTGTAAGAGGTCTGTGTCCCTCCATGGCTATGCCTCTTCAGACCATCACTGACCAACCACCAAAACAATCATGCTTAACGATGTTACAGGCAGCATAACGTTCTCCACAGCTTCCCCCAGACCCTCACACGTCTGTCAAATATATGAGAGCAGGTTCACTCTAAGCACATGTCAAAAGCACAGTGGCTGACCTGCCAATTCTAATATTCAATGGCAAATGCCATTTGAGCTCGGTGGTGCCGGGCAGTGAGCACAGGGCCCACTAGAGGATGTTGGGCCCTCAGGCCACCCTCATGAAGCCTGTTTGATTGGTCAGAAACATTCACACCAGTGGCTTGCTGGAGGTAATTTTGTAGAGCTCTGGCAGTGCTCATCCTGTTCCTCCTTGCACAAAGGAGCAAATACTGGTCCTGCTGATGGGTTAAGGACCTTCTACGGCCCTGCCCAGTTCTCCTAGAGTAACTGCCGGTGTCTTGGAATCTCCTCCATGCTCCTCAGACTGTGCTGGGAGACGCAGCAAACCTTCTGGCAATGGCATGTATTGATGTGCCATCCTGGAGGAGTTGGACTGCCTGTGCAACCTCTGTAAGGTCCAGGAATCGCATCATGCTACCAGTAGTGACACTGATCCTGGCTAAAATGTAAAACTAGGGGGGGAAGGAAAAAAAAAAAAAAAAAAGTCAGTTTGACTTGATACTATACACGGATTAAAAAGTGTTCCTTTAATTTTTTTTGAGAGCAGTGTGTATATTTACCTATTCTGAAGCTGCTCTGGCCCAGTAGCTTGATCTCTATGTTTTTAAATTTAAGTGTATTTTTTCCTGAAAATTTGCATTAGATAAATGGATGTGCAAATATTGTGTGGCACAGAAAAATTGCAGCAGTCCATTTTATTCTCCAGAGACTCTGCTTTTAGAAAATGTATAGTGTTAGGGGGTTCTAAGTAATTATCAAAAGACAAACATGCCGGTGAATGCATATGAAAATGCACATAATTCAGCTTGGCTTTAGATCAGGATGGCCCAGAACTGATAAGTGTATGTCCACAATAAGAACCACAGGCAGGAAAGAAAAGAAAAAAAAAAAAAAAAAAAAACACACCACAAACAAAACTTGCAGTGGGGAGTTCTGTCCATCTTTGAAATAGCTCTCATTGGCAATATATCACCAACAACTGTTCCAAACTTACATGACGATTAGTATAGACACAAAGGATTTTCATTGCTCTTTTCAAAAAGAAAACATTTACCAGGTGCAAGTTTTTTCAGAATGCTGTAAATCACTTCAACTGACCCTGGCTAGCGCTGGGTATATAAATTGCCTGATGGCTTCTAAAGGATACTCAAACAAGCTGTGCAGCCAGCAACAAATTGAGCTATTCGGCCAGCCTACGAGTTTATACACTGCACATTTATAGAAAATAACAGGGCCATTGTGAGCAAGATCAATAGACAGTGTTATCTCAATGATCCTGATGAACTGTCAGCTAAGGCTGGCCCCATCAACACAGTATTGAGAGGGGAATCCCTCCCGCAGAGCTACTGTGTTCTCCAACAGCTGCTAGCAATAATCGCATGTAAAATCAGGCTAGTTGCATCTGAGTTACATGCAGCCTGTCCATACATGGTTCGAATCTCATCCAGTTTCTGCTGAACTGGCCAAGATTTGAACAGTCTAGACATAGACTGTTCAAATCTTGGCCAGTTCAGCAGGAACTGGATGAGATTCGAACCATGTATGGACAGGCTGCATGTAACTCAGATGCAACTAGCCTGATTTTATGGCTCTATGGAGGCTAGAAGACTGAGAACTAATGTTTTCCTTTTGGTGTCTGCTGCCTGCATCCCAATCCTGCAATCCCTTTACAGACCTAAACATATGATAGGCCAAGAATGTTTCCTTGAGAGTGGTCAGATTGTTATTAGATTGCCAGCTGCTCCCCTTTTACCATCTGCACCTTTGATTTTAGTTAACCACTTCCTGACCGGCCGCTGTATATAAACGGCCGGACAGTGGCACTGCAGGGTCGTGTGGCTGTTTATAAACAGCCTCCCCGCACCCTGCTTGTGCGCGCTCCCCGGGAGTGTGCGCAGCACCGCGATCCGGTGCCCGCTGTGTCTTCCGGACACAGTGAAACACCGATCGTCGGATGGGACCTCTGTACGAGGTCCCGATCATGTGATCACCGATTGGCCAAATCAGTGATCACATGCAGAGTAGTAAGCAAGATGTCACTTCTGACATCATTGCTTACTACGTGTGAAATCTGTGAATGATCACAGAGGTCACATGGTACAAGGCTATTCACAACAGCCTTGTACCATGTAACAAGCTGTGACCAATCACAGCTCACTCAGTAGTTCTCAATGGCTGCAAGAATGCAGACAGAGAGAAAGAGAAATGATTGCTTTTACATCCTATATGGGTGTAAAAGCAATCAGTGTAAAAAAAAAAAAAAAAATCATCACCCCCCAAAAGTAGTACAGTGTCACCATGCTGACACTACTGCTAGGGTGACAGTATGTAAAAAAAAAAAAAAAAAAAAAAAAAAAAAAAAAAAAAATATATAAAAAAAAAAAAAGTTTCAAAATTATAATTTTGATTATAAACTAATTTGGCTTATTTTTTTTTTACTAAAAAGATAACGGAATAAATTTCGGCCAAGATTTATGATGAAATATTAATTTGCAAAATTTTATAAGAAAAACACTTTTCAAAATTTTTGGACATTTTCATTTACATAGCAAAAAAAAATAAAAATCCCAGCGGTGAATAAATACCACCAAAATAAAGTTTTATCGGTCTCAAAAAAATGGTAAAAAATTCATATGGGTACAGTGTTGTATGACCACGCAATTGTCATTCAAAGTGTGATAGCGCTGAAAGCTGAAAATTGCCCTGGTCAGGAAGGGGGTAAAAGTGTCCGGACTGGAAGTAGCTAAACAAAAACAGGATTAGTTGGTATGTTTTATTGCACTTGGCTTTTAGCAATGCAGAATGAAGAGATCATATGTAAACATAGATGGGAGACCTTCATGACACATTTCAACTCTCATTTCCAAACTCACACAGAATAATGGCAGATTAAATCTTTTTGCTTTAATCCACAAAAAAATTTTCTTCCCCAATATTTATAAATCAACCATATTGTGGGGTCTAGCACATTAGGAACACTGCAGCATGGAAAAACATATGCTACATACATATTACATAAAAATAGTTTCTTCTAAAGATCCCATTTCTAATATATAAACAGACATCGCACCACATCTAGAGAGTAAGTTCGTTATTATGCAAGATTTCCCAAAAAAAAAAAAAAAGTGAAGCAAGTATTCCAGATACTGACCTGCTCTAACCAGGGGATGATGCAGTCATTGTGAAATAAGTGATTACAAGGCAGCTGTCGTACGCTTTCACCAACTGTATAATCTTCTTTACAAACTGGACACTCCAAACCAGAACCTGGTGCCAGACACAATATGAATTGTCAGAATTAGCAAGCATATGTAAGACAGACACACACACAGCTTTATTCTGTTAAGTATCAATTAGTCCCATATTAGCGGATCAGAAAAAGTGCTTTTGGCAAAAGGAGAATGGCTCATTTTCTTGTTATTGTAATAGCAAGTAAAAACATTACCCATCGACACTAAAATTGGTCAGAAAAGACAAAAATAATTGCTGCCCAATCACAAGTCTGTGTGCTAGCAGATAGACTAATATTCACAGCCTGTCTTGCTGCTCCACTCAAGAGTACACCAGTGCTGGTGGTATTTTCTTCCATTCTCCATGTATCACCCACTGACAAAATTGTCAGAATCGGACATAAAGCTGAAGTTTAGCGCTACAGCTTTAGTGACATTACTTAACAGTAATGAAGTAGGAGATTCAGAAAATGTGACCCTCTAATCCATTGAGAGGTTGTGTTACATATTTTGTGGACAATAAAATAACTTCTCAGAGGGAAGGGAGGAATCTCTGCCTGAAGACCCAAACTAATAAACTCTATAGAACTGGAATTCCAGAGCAAGGAAGAGGACCAGCATACCTACCCAGATTTCTATAGGATCCAGCTGCCTGCATGATGTGGGAGATCCCATATTACCATGGTAAGTAATGGCACTAAAGCAGTGTATTCAGTACCTCAAATAATTAAGGAAAAAATCCAAAAGTATGAAACTAGCCAAAATTCTTATTATCTGAATTGTACAGTACAGGACTGGTATTCAACAGACCCAATAAAAAGGGGTTTAAAGAGATTAACCATCACACATGCACTTTGTTTTTCATCTGCATAAGATGTGCACTGATCATGCAGTTTCATGGTGTCATTTATTGGCCTGTATGCAGAGGCTATAGTAGAGTAAATCATCACGTTGTTCAGAAATGTTTGTTTTAAACACAAGGCACTGCACAGGTTAATGCATGACCACTGTATGTAGTCTGAGAACCCACCCTTGCTGTGAAGAATCAAATATCCCACAATATCTTTCAGTCTAGTGTAGGTGGATGTGAAAGCAGTTAGAGATTACCATGCTAGATGAGATGTGCCTGTTTCATAAACTTAACAGACATTTGTGATGCAGCACAGAAACACCTAGGCATGCATGTTGCTTGTCCCACTGGTGACTAGGAGCAAGGTAGGTGGACTACATGGAAATAGGGGAATCAATCAGCCATGACACTACAAACTGAAGCCAAAATCATGCAAACCCATCATTACAAGGTAAGGCATACAAAAGTAATTATAGCTACACGAATACCTAGTTAACACAATAAAATATTTGAAGGTATACAAAGCCTTTAACCCCCTTCAGGCCGACGTAATACAAATATACATTGTATCTCACTTTCTCTCCTTGCATAGAGGGAAAAAAAAAAAAGAAAAAAAAGCTATCTATTAAAAAAGAAAAAAAAAAATACCTAAATCAATGTTTGATCTAGTTCAGTGCCAGAGTTTGGGTCAAGGTCAGGGTCAAAGTCAGGATTTTTATTAATTTTTTTTTTTAAAATTGGTATCAGTGTTGGTGTTTTAGGTAAAAAAACAAACAAACACACACTATTGTTTCTGGGCTGTACTGTGGGTACAAATTCAAATAACATACACATATATTGTATCGCTGTGCTCATCAAGAGCTGGAAAATTCATTTTGGGTTGTTGTTTGGTGGTAGGTTATGGTAGCAAGGCTGGAAGTGTGCGGGTGAAACCGGCGGCCATTTTGGAGAAGGGAAACAATCGCATTTGGAGTACATGGACGTTTTTCCTGGATGGCTGTGAGGTCTATATATCACAAACAAGTGTTTGTAAAGGCTTTTTGATGTAAGCAGTATAAATAAAAGGTCATATTGTCATATGATTGGCGGTATTATACTATTATGTCCCTCATATGGATTATATCTCTGGATGGAGTGAAGTGCCTGGAGTCATTGGGATCATTGAGGTTAAGGAATCCAGGGAGGATTGTGGAGATTACCTATTCCTGGGAAAGCTGATGGATCAGTATAAGCATATGTTTTTTGGAGTGTTGGTAAAGGGTACCCTTACTTTAAGTAGAAGTGCACACTGATTTGCAATTTTTTTTGTGGCACTGAAGGGTGATTTACACACACACACACACACACACACACACACACACACACACTTTTCACTAATTAAGTCACGGTTTTTCACGGTTTTTCTTTTTGTCACATTTATTCACTGTGAAGTGCGGGGAATGAATTGAATTGATGTTGTATGAAGGATAATGCACTATGTGATATTTTTTTTTTTTTTGAGGTATAAAGATCTGGGAAATCGTTGGAAGAATTTTGACCAGTTTTGAATTATTTTTCACTATGATATTTTAGGGTAATTAGGGGTAATAGTTGATGGACTAATCAATGGACTTTATAGTTGTTGTTTAAATTTATTTTGCTAAACACTTTCACATATAGAAGGTTATGGTAGTAACAAGAAACGCAGCTAAAATTTATTTTAATTTTTTTTTTTTTAACCATTTTGGGCCAGTTTTCATTTGATAAAAAAGGTGAATAAAGAACCTGGACCAGAAGACATACACCCATGGGTCCTTAAAAGAATTGAGCCCTGTCATTTCAAAGCCATGATTTCTCATTTTTAGGGACTCTTTAATTACTGGCATAGAACCACTGGATTGGCGCAAGGCCAATGTGGTGCATATATTTAAAAAGAAGTCAACATTGTAACAATTATGCACACAGGGAGGGGTGCAGTTCTCCATTTTGCTTCAAAGTTCTGCATTGTGGTATTTTTCTTAAACTAATATGCAGTCACCTGAGGGGGAGGTGTAGCAGGCATGGACCCCAGAGCCAGGCATTCTCTCACTGTGTGAAGAAGTCTTAATGTTATATCCCTCATTCCCCTCCCTCAGGAATGCAACCAGCATATGATGCTGAGACCCCTGCCTAACACTTCTTTGCCAAATAAGGCTTGGCTTGTCCGTTGTGGGAAGAGACACCAGTTGATTTTGGGTAGAAAAATAAGCTGTTATGCTTTGTGTGTAGTCAGAGAAGTGAGGACATTCGGTGTTTTACCATCTAGCAAACCGAATGCAAAGGAGAATCGCGCTTGTACCAACGAAACTGAGTGCTGAGAGACCAGAAATCCATTTTTAGCTCAGACTTGAAAATTGCTTAACCCCAGGCATTTATTTAGCAAGTACTTATTTACCTAAACTTCTGTTATCTGTGCTGTTGTGCTCTGTATAGATTATATATATATTATATATATATATATATATTACATCTTTCTGTAAATATTTCTTCTGCACCTCTTTAACCTTTTGATAATAAATCTTACTTTCTGAAAGTGTTTTGAACTGTTTCTATAGCTCTTGAATGTAACTTAGAGTCCCTGCTGCTGCTGAACGCTACGAGTGTTTAACCCTCTGTATAAACAGTCTGTAGAGATAGCGGTATACTGTAGATTAACCAATCATCCTAGTGTATTGTGGAGTTTCCTCTTTCTCTGTATAAAAAAGGGTGGTGGCAGTGTGAAGGGTTAATTGCGTAATTAACCTGACCCAGTAACAAGCGCATTCAGGCTGCAGGTACAGAGGGGGTGGGGGGGGGGGAGAGGGAGGGAGATGGAGAGAGAGAGAGAGAGGAGATGAGGGGGAGGAGAGAGAGAGAGAGAGAGAAGAGAGAGAGAGAGGGGGGGAGAGATAAGATGAATTTTATAGATTGCACTATAGGGACGAGAGAGAGACGAGAGAGGGGGGGGGGGGGAAGAGGAAGAGAGAGAGAGAGAGGGGGAGGGGGAGGGGCACGAGAGAGAGGGGGAGGGAGAGAGAGAGAGAGAGGAGAGAGGGGGAGAGAGAGAGGGGGGGGAGATTGGGAGAGAGAGAGAGAGGGGGAGGAGGGGGAGAGAGAGAGAGAGAGTGAGGAGAGGGGGGAGGGAGGGAGAGAGAGACGAGAGAGAGGAGGAGAGAGAGAGGAGAGGAGAGGGGGGAGGGGATGGATGCACGAGATGGAGAGAGGAGAGAGGAGAGAGGAGAGAGGGGAGAGATGAGAGAGAGAGAGAGAGAGGAGAGAGGGATGAGAGGAATAGGGAGAGGTGAGGGGGAGAGAGAGAAGAGAGGAGAGGGGGGGGAGGAGAAGAGAGAGGGAGAGAGAGAGAGAGGAATGGGGGGGGAGGGAGGAGAGAGAGAGATGCGGGGAGATTGAGGGGGGGGGGGGAGGGAGAGGAGAGATGAGAGAGAGAGGAAGGATGGAGGGAGGGAGGGGATTGAGGAGAGAGATGGGTAGGGGGGAGGGGAGGCGGAGGGAGAGAGAGAGAGAGAGGAGGGGGGTGGGAGGGTAGGGATGGGAGGGTGAGAGAGGAGAGATGAATGAGGGAGGATGAGAGATGAGAGAGAGTGAGAAGGGGGGATGAGAGATGAGAGAGAGAGAGAGGAGAGGGGGGGGAGGGAGAGAGAGAGAGGAGAGAGGAGAGGAGGGGAGAGGGGGGGAGAGAGAGAGAGAGAGGAGAGGGGAGAGGGAGAGAGAGAGAGAGAGGAGAGGGGGATGAGAGAGAGAGAGAGAGGAGAGGGGGGGGGAGAGAGAGAGAGAGGAGAGGGGAGAGGGAGAGAGAGAGAGAGGAGAGGGGAGAGAGAGAGAGAGGAGAGGGGGTGAGGAGAGAGAGAGAGAGATAGAGAGAGAGGGGAGAGGACCAAATGGAGAGAGAGAGCGGGAGAGAGAGAGGAGAGAGAGAGAGAGACGAGAGAGAGAGAGAAGAGAGAGAGGAGAGGGGGGAGGGGGAGAGAGAGAGAGAGGAGAGGGGGGAGGGAGAGAGAGAGAGTGTGAGGAGAGGGGGAGGGATGAGAGAGAGAGAGAGGAGAGGGGGGAGGGGAGAGAGAGAGAGAGGAGAGGGGGAGGAGAGAGAGAGAGAGAGGTGAGGAGATGGGGGAGGAGAGAGAGGAGAGGAGATTTAGAGGGGGGGGGAGAGAGAGAGGGAGAGGAAGAGGGAGAGAGAGAGAGAGGAGAGAGGGGGGAGGGAGAGAGAGAGAGAGAGGAGAGGGGGAGGGAGAGAGAGAGAGGAGAGGGGGAGGGAGAGAGGAGAGAGGAGAGTGGGGGAGGGAGAGAGAGAGAGGAGAGGGGGAGGGAGAGAGAGAGAGGAGAGGGGGAGGGAGAGAGAGAGAGGAGAGGGGGAGGGAGAGAGAGAGAGGAGAGGGGGAGGGACGAGAGAGAGAGGAGAGGGGGAGGGAGAGAGAGAGGAGAGGGGGGAGGGATGGAGAGAGAGGAGAGGGGGAGGGAGAGAGAGAGAGGAGAGGGGGAGGGAGAATGAGAGAGAGGAGAGGGGGAGGGGAGAGAGAGAGGAGAGGGGGGGTGTATATATATTTAAAAAGTGTTGTTCTTTATGAATGTACTATATGTTACTGTGTTTAATTTGTACTTTTTTCATTACCAATCCAGCGATCAAGTTTTGTCTTTATCCGAGATCTACGGACAGGATGAAGCGGGTTATCTTGCGAAATGCGTTGACCTAAATGTAATGATCTCCAAAAGACCCCTATCCTATAGCTCTTCTGCTTCTCTATGTGGAAGACAAGTGGTAGATGTGGTGTCCGATTATGAATTTTAGTCAATTTAAAAACACTCAGTTAAAAAGTCTAGATATGCAACTCATTTTTAAATAATTTTTGTTGTGTGCATACTTCATCATTAGAGGGGTATTTAAAGTCCCATTATATACAATTCTCTTTGTAGGGAGTCACCATAGCATCCACTGTGGATGCTTGATGTTCCATGGTCCAGCTTCACATTTAAACCTGGACATCTGAAGATCCCAAACGTCAGCAGATCCTGCAAACACCTCTGCGTGAACAGCCCACTCCACTTGGAATGTGGAAACAAAATTCTGCCGAACTGTCTTCCATCCAAAGACTGGATGGGATCCACTTCTTCCTGAGCAAAACATCTTCTGGTGCCGCCTTGATGATTTATGCATGCCAGCATTGTGGCACTGTTAAACTAAACCCTTACATGAAGGCCCTTCAGCTGCACAGACAAATGAAGCATGGATAGGTGAATTGCTCTCAATTCCAGGAAGTTGATGGGTCAACAACCTCTCCTGCCAATGAGACCAATTCCCCTGGACCGAGATATTACCAGAACTCCACCCCAGCCCACCAGGCTGGCATCCATAGTCAGGGACCTCCAGGACAGAGGAAGAAATTATTTACCCATCTCCAGCATCCGTGAGATCCACAAGTCATTAGACAGTCTCATGCTACAGTGTAATGGCAACAGGGAATCCAACCACTGCATCCCTCTGTCCCATGCCACCAAGGCATTCCTTTGGAGGGGCTGGAATGAAACGGGGCAAAGGGCACAGCCTTGAAAGTGGCTACACTTTTCCAGAACCCTGATGCTAAATTCTAGTGATTTATTTTGAGCAAATCCACACAAGCTCCAGAGCAAGCTCCAGAGGGAGGGTCATCCTCATCTGGATGGTATCCAGGGTCAGATCTAAAATATTGTACCTTTAGACAGTCTGGCTTCTGCAAATTCAGAACCCATGCAAACCTCTTCAGAATCTACATGTGAGACAGCAACAAAAGAGCAATTCAAATCAGCTAAAGTAAAGATGGAGGGGGCAGACCTAGCGAGGTGTCATTGGGAGGCGATCTGGATGAACCTGGAACAGCTGGAATTCTCACTCTGTCACACAAAAACAAGGTGGCACAGCACTGAGCCCTACCAGAAAAGAGGATCTCAGCTGAACAACGCTGGATCTGCTGGGTATCTGAAATGTGAAGAACTCACCACCAGGCTGGAAGTGAATTAAGTGGGTGAAGAAAACCCCTTCCCCTCCTTCATTGGGCATACTGAGCCTCCAAGACCACTCCTAAGCCCTGCTGTAGTGCTTGGGCGACCCTGAGAAGCAATGACAGTAAAAACACAGCACATGCCCAAACACTAACTGTGAATAACAGAACCATAGGTTGCCTGGTGTCAAAACTGTCAGAAGTGACTGCAGATATCAGAGCAAAGAGCACCTAGTGTGGATCCTGGCTGCTATGGATTGCCAAGTACACACTATGAACAAATACAATTAAAGGCCAATTCACACTGACTTGCACTAAAATGTATGGGAATTGGATGTACATTTCCATCAATTTTAGTCGCGCTCTGATGTCCATTGGCATACATTTTGGCATCATTCGCCTTCAGATAGCAAAAAGGAAGAAGAGAGCAACCAGGATCCACACTAGGTGCTATGGATTGAGGCAAGTACACACTAGAGGTAAATGAGTCATTAATTTTTCGATTTCAGTGTTTTACAACCATTTTAAAAAGGTGCTATAACTCAAGTGGTTGAAAAGAAAAAATTATTAAAAAATATTTTGTCATGCATCCTCTTAAAGATGCATGTCAGCATGCAAAATATTGTGTTTGGGTCACTCTTTTGGCTTTTCAGTGTATGAGGGTGGAATAGTATGTAGAGATCACTTTGGTGATCTGGCTGCAAAAGTAATTGTTTTAGTTTGGAGGAGGAAAGAGTCCCTCCCATCCACCCTTTTTTTTTGGTAGGCTACACACAGCTGCAATGTAGGTTTGTAGATTTTAGCTAGCTAGACTGTCCCTCCATAGAGTTAATTTTAGAGTCAGTTACTTTTTTTAATTTTACTTTCAGAGATATACATTTTTATTGTCTCTACTTGTCTATTGATAGATTAGAAAAATTGTCAAAACTTTCAGGAGAATTATAATTTACTTAAAAGTATCTGGCATTTTTAATGACTTGGCTTAATTTTAATCAATTTTGTATCTTCCAGTAGTTCATGTCCACACAGTTAAATGCCCACCAAATATCTACTTCACAGCAAATGGGCCTAAAATACACCAATTCAGATACTCACCCACATGCTCCTCGGTTATCTGAATTGTTGGAAGGGCTTGGATCTTCTCATTGTCTGCAGGTGGAGGACCGGTGTTCTCAAATTGGTTAAGCAACTAAGGGGAAAAAGGAAATAGAGGGGACACCTTTGCAAGAATAAAATACAAACTTTCCACAGAATTTCCCTAAGAATTAAGAAATACCTGTGTGATTATGGTATCAAGGCCATTCGCTCCCCAAGCATAATCCATTGGATTGGAATGTAGGACTCCCCTATGTTAGTAAAAAAAATATCCAATTAAAAAAAAAAAAACAAAAAAAACAAAAGTGGATTTAAATTATTCAAGCCAAAAGCTTTATTTTTCTTAGATTTGGACAGAGTACAGGAGAGTTACTAGTAAAAAATGGTGACTGTTGTCACAGAGACAGAAAAGAAAAGAAACGCCCCCCCCCCCCCCAAAAAAAAAAAAAAAAAAGCAGACTTTTTTCATGTGAAGTGGAGAGGGGAAAACTTCCAATAGAGACATATGATCCTGTGACATACTGGGAATTCCCCTCTCTGAATTTATTTTACTTCCCACTGCATCTCTATGGCACATAATATAAAAAGGGAAATCTACCCAATGGTGCAGAGATAGCAACAAATAAAACTGACAGGAATTCTAACCCTCTATAAACGCTTTATTGGCTATAAAAACTCTTCAATATTCTAAACAGGTCAAAAACCCAAAACAATTATTTACATTTTGGACAATGATAATGTGGCATATGAAAAACTATAGCAAAATACATTTCAGTTCAATCATCTTACAGCTGACAGTTGTGTCCTCTTACAAACCTACAAAAATGTAAAAAACAGCATAGCACACAGAAGGGAACAGTTTCAGAGATCTAAACAGCCCTGTTCCCCAGCCCAATATGGTCTTGCAGGGCAGGGTGATTTCACTCAACGTTCAATAAAGGTTATTAAATTCCATATAAAAAAAAAAAAAAAAAATTAAAAGAAAAATTTTTTACTACATCCTGCCTACTAGTGCATGCGCATTGCATTCTATGCGCAAGTCATACCTCTGGTGAAACTGTCACAGCTGCCAGAGTGTTTAACCGCTTCCATACCGGGCACTTTTACCCCCTTCCTGCCCAGGCCATTTTTCAGGTTTCAGTGCTCTCACACTCTGAATGACAATTGCGCGGTCATGCAATACTGTACCCAAATTAAAAATTTTATCATTTTCTTCACACAACTACAGCTTTCTTTTTTGTAGTGTTTAATCAACAATGGGGTTATTTTTTGCTAAATAAAAAAAAAAAAAAAACACACACTTTTCTTTGTGTTATAAAAGTTTTCAACTAAATAATTGTTCTTCATAAATTTAGGCCGAGATGTATTCTGCTACATTTCTTTGGTGAAAATAACCCAAAATTAGGATGTATTTAGTTCGTAGGAAAGTTATAGAGTTCACAAACCATGGTGTATATCTGTGTATATCTGAATATTGATCAATCCTGAAGTACTGACAGCCAATTAATTTCTTGAGGTCCAAGAATGTCAGAACAGTACAGATATCCCCAAAATGACCCCTTTTTGCAAAGTAGACAGTCCGACGTATTTCATAAGAGGCATGGCGAGTTTTTTGACGTTGTAATCTTGTCATACTTTTTCAGAAAAAAAAAAATTATTTTTTTTTTTACATACGGTCACCAGTGCAGTACAGCGTTCATCATATACCTGGCATGGTGGTGATCAGGGAAACTGGTGACAGTACAAAAAAAAAAAAAAAAAAAAACACTTTTTTTATTAGTTGTAATTACTTAAAACTAATTAATTAGGCCAGGCGACAACTGGTTAAAGTGGTATTAAGCCCCCTCCACAAAATTTTATATATTGCAGTTAACCAATTAGAAGTGGTGGCTGCATTAGTTTTCTTTCTTAAGCTTTTTTCCCTTCTGTTTTCATCTGGTGATCTGGCCAGTAACACACACCTGTATTAGAGTGCTCCACTCTGGATGAAGAAGCACAGAGGGCACCTTTGGACAGCTGAATTGTCAGTCTGGGGGAAGGCGAGTGTTAGATGTACTAGCAGATTTAAATACACTAACAAACTTGAAGCCAAACTCCAGCTCTCTTTATAAGCAAGCATTTTTTTTTATCCCTTTTGGGATAAAAGGTTTTACCTAAAAAAAAGCTGACCATTGTAAGCACCTCTGCCAGTGTTAAAGGTTTGTCTCATCTCTGCAACTGATCCATTCTGCTGGTGAGTTTGAGAGTGGAGAGTTCCTTTTTTTCCCCCTTCAAGACACTTATTGGCTGGATTACCAGATGAAAATAGAAGAAAGCCCTAAAATGCAACCATCAAATCTAAGGAATGGGAAGCTGCAATAGAATGAAGGTTGGCGTTTGGGTTTATTACTACTTTAAGTTCGCTCTCAGGCAATCTTTTAAGCCATACAGTTGCTGGTGTCATAGCTTGTGTACAGTTCTAAAAGTACACACCATGGCAAAAGATGGCATGGTCAATAGCAGATAGTACAGATTAGTTCCTGTAAGGAGACACTTACAGGACTATTCCCCACCCTGACTGGACAGTGGAGGGAGAGCAGCAGATTGATGAGCTCTTTTCTGTCACGGTTGTCTTCTCCAGAACATCCCTTGCTCTGTGGTGCAGACGGCAAGAGGCTGTTACTAAGTGGTGTACTAAGGGGGATCTGGGGAGTGTGGTTCAAACTGTATGTGGACTCTCTAGGGGTGATGTAGTCCGCCTGACATTTTGTGTGTTGCACTGCTATCGGGGGACAGATATGCTAGGTACACCACTGCTGTTGCAGGTCAATTTTGGGTACTTAAAATAATTCAGTTTAAAAATGCAAATTAAGGATGTATTAGGACTAGGAGAAGACCATACTATGCTACACATGCAAAATACAGACAGTACAACTACTGATAGTCTGAACTCACCAAGGCCCTAATCCCAAATTTGGCATTGCTGTGGGTGCAATAATCCCATTCACCAGCTGCTGAATGATCCTAATAAAGGAAAAAGACAGAGAAATGTCTGACCAATGGAAGACTCTTAATAAAAAAAGAAAAAAGCGTTAACATCAAAATAAAAATACAAATCATTGTCCAGTTTCTCTATTGATTAGATTACTGATAAATAAAAATACACCGTTCTCAGGAGTGCAAAGTAATGTAGTATTTATGATTAAAAGAAACCCTAATCAATTTTTTTGCACTCCTTGTAAAATCCTTTTCTTGAAGTCCATCAAGTGACACAGCTTTATGAAATATAAGCAACCAAAACTTAAACTGCTTCCCAGAGAAGAAAGACCAGGCACATTTCACCTGAAGGCCAGCACCCTTTTAGCTAACCCCTCCAACCTGATCACTGAAAAATATAAAAGCAGGTCAGTCTCACTACACTCCGCTGCTCTCACAGTATTCTTAATAATCAGGCTCCATGCACACTGAGCGTTTTAATAACGCTGGTAATGTTAGATGTGTAAAGTCACGTTAAAAAATATGGAGTTTTTCAGTGTTTTTGTATTAGCGTTTTTTTTTTCCGCAAACCAAAAAAAAGTATTTATTTTTTTTACCAGAAAGAGTCCAAAAATGGTGGTTTGCCACGATTTACCGTGTTTTTCAGCGTTCGAGCGTTTTTACAGTTAAAAAAAAACTCCTCGAAACACTAGTTCTGGGGTTTTGTTCCAGCCAAAAAACGTTGATTACAGTCTGTGTGCACGGACACATAGGAAAACATGCTGGGGAGTTTACTGGTTGTAGAAAAAGTCAAAAACAGCAGCTGTAAAGACGCCCAGTGTGCATGAGGACGAATACAAAAAAAAAAAATAATACTCTCTAAAATATATTAGGGGCACAGCTTTATGCATAAACAACCAAGAAATGATCAAAAGCCAAAATCCAGGTGAATCAGCCGAATAAGAGGGGGGGGGGGGGGGAAGCTGAAAGACATTACAATGATAAACCCCACTGCACGCTTGACAATCTCCAATCAAGCGCCCCTGGACACCATCCCTCCACACCCGATCCCCACGCCCTTAAACTCCAGCTACCAGAAGCCACAGCGACGAGATACGCCACCGCATGCTGGACTATCCGCAGCCAAGCCTCCTACCGCACCTATCTGCCACCCCCCTGTACCTCCCTAAATGCCTCTTCCACTCCTCATATTCCTCTCCTTTGTTCCCAGAATCCCTTCTCTATATCCCTCTGCTCCTCCCAAACAACTGCATATTGTGTCCTCACTGCTTCCTTCGCCCCTCTACGGCACCCACCACCTCCTCCTAATACTCCACCCTCCCACTGACTCGAACACCCCCACTGGTAGACTTACACGCTCCTGCACATCCCACTCCCATGCCACCTTTCTCACCCTTCTTCTCCTCCTAACAGCGGGGGACATCTCCCCGAACCCTGACCCTCCACCACCTCGCTCACCCACACGGCACCCTCACGCTTCCACGTCCTACCACAACCAACAAGCTTACTGCCATCCATAACCTCTTTGTTTCCCGCTCCCTCAAAAACCTCCTAGCGATCACGGAAACCTGGATCCAGGCCACTGACTCTACCTCCCCTGCTGCACTCTCCTATGGAGGTCTCATCTGGACCCACTCACCCAGACCCAACGGTCGTAAAAGGTGGTGGGGTTAGTCTGCTCCTGTGACAGCAGAGCACTTTCCGAGTACTCCCAACAACCCCCCCCTCTCTATCCCTTCTCTTCCTTCGAAGCCCACTGCATCCAACTTTTCTCCCCAACCCCAGTGAGGATTGCTGTAATCTACCAGCCTCCTTGACCCGTATCCCGCTTCCTTGATGACTTTTCCGCCTGGCTACCCTTCTTTCTCTCCTCCGAGCTACCCACCATCATCCTTGGGTATTTTCAACATCCCTGTCAACACAGACAACCCGGCCACATCACAATTTCCTCCACCTAACCTCCTCCTTTGCACTCGCACAGTGCATACAATCCACCACCCACTCCAACGGGAAACATCTGGACCTGTCTTCTCCCATCTCAGCGCTCCCCACAACCTCACTAACACCCCCTTCCTTCTCTCTGACCACCACCTTATTACCTTCTTTGTCTCCTCGTCCTCCAACGCCAACCCCATGCCAAGTGTCATACTACCCTACTGGCTCGAAAACCCCCTCCTCGTAGCTGATCCCTCCGTAACCATAGACAGCAAGCCTCCCCTGTCCTGCCCCGACCTGGCCCATCACTGCCTACAACAACTCCGCAGCTGATCACTACCTTGGACTTGCAGTGGTTTCCACCTGGGTTTTCGATCGAACCCCTGAGTCCTGCCTCGCACCTGGCACATGACTCTGCCAGTACAGATGTTTTTGTTTTTTGTGTGAAACTCGCGTTTTAATGGTGCGTGTTCTTTGTTCTTCACCCTGATGCTCGTGCTATTATAAGAGCCTTTAAAAAATTCATACCCATGGTAACATCAGTACCCTCCAACAAGGTTAAGAAACCACCGCGACCACCCCATGTAAACATCAGGACCACTCAGCCCCGCAGACTGAACACACTAAAGCTCTCAAACGACGCAGTCGTGCGCTGGAGCGACTATGGCGCAAAACCAGATCCAACTATCCTCACCCGCGATATAAATCTGCCTTCCACATCTTAAACCTCCTCCCTCCATGCTGCCAAACAAGCCTACTTCCTGACCCTCATCAAGACCCCTCGCCTCCAATCCTCCCGGCTCCTCCCTTTTAACCCCTACTCCCCTCCCCCCCACCTCCAGCCAGCACCTCACTCACCGCCCTTGAGATTGCCAATCATTCAAAAACAAGAATTTGACACTATTCGCAGGGACATCGCCGCTGCTCAAACTTCCTCCCCACCCGTCCCCTCTCTACACAACAGCAACCCCCTCATCACCCTCTCCCTCACCACTGTTCTGACCTCCACCCCACCTAACATTCCTCACACTGAAGCCCCCTCCACACTTTCGACTTTACTACCATCGAGGAAGTCACCAAGTCTACTCTAATGCCTGCCTCACCACCTGCCCCCTCAAACCCTATCCTCTCACAACTCCTACGACCTCCCTCCTCCTCCATCCTACGCTCCCTCACCCACATCTTTAATCTCCTCCCTCTCTTCCGTGCATTCCCCTCCCCTCTGAAGCACTTGCACATCACCCCTATACTTAAAAATCCCTCCCTGGACCCCAATGACCCGAACAACCTTAGACCCAATCCCTCCCTGCTGCCATTTACATCCAAACTCCTCGAGCGCTTAGTCTACAATCGCCTAAGCTACCACCTCAACGACAACTTCCTCAATCCCCTACAGTCCCGGCTTTCCGTCCCCTACACTCCACCGAAACTGCCTTACTCAAACTATCCAATGACCTGCTAACCGCCAAAGCTAATGGCCACTACTCCGTGCTCATACTCCTCGACCTCTCTGCGCCCTTCGACACAGTCGACCACACCCCCCTCCTCCTCAAAAAGCTACACTCCCTTGGCCTCAGAGACTCCGCTCTCTCCTGGCTCTCGTCCTACCTATCACAACGCTCCTTCAACATTACCTACAATGCTACCACCACCTCCACCTCACTCCCCCTCTGTTGGGGTCCCTCAAGGCCCTGTCTTGGACCCCTGCTCTTCTCCATCTACACCTCCTCCTTGGCCAACTCATACACTCTCATGGCTTCAACTATCACCTCTATGCCGACGACACGCAAATCTATCTCTCCACCCCTCACCTCACCCACTCAGTCTCCGCCTGAATCACAAGCCTACTGAATGACAGACTGGATGTCGCTCCACTTCCTTAAACTGAACCTCTCCAAAACCGAGCTCCTCGTCTTCCCCCTGCCCATACACCACCCCCCACTGACTTCTCCATCACGTCCAACAATGCCACCATCAGGCCTGCCCCACAAGCCAGAGTACTTGGGGTCATACTTGACTCCAATCTATCCTTCCACCCCCAAGTCCAATCACTAACAAACTCATGCAGACTCCACCTCCGCAACATCGCCAAACTCTGCACGTTCCTAACCCCGGAAACCACTAAGCAGCTCATCCACTCCCTTATCATATCACGACTCGATTACTGCAACTCCCTCTTCACTGGCCTGCCTCGCCACAGGCTATCCCCACTTCAGTCGATCCTGAATACGGCAGCCAGACTCATCCATCTTACCAACCGCTCCGTTTCCGCCACCCCCCCCCTCTACCAATCCCTCCACTGGCTTCCGATTGCCCAACGGATCAAATTCAAAATCCTAACACTGATGTACAAAGCTGTCCATCATACTGCCCCAAACTACATCACCGACCTAATATCTAAATACCACCCAACACGCACTCTCCGCTCCTGACAAGACCTCCTCTCTAGTTCCCTGGTCTCCTCCTCCCATGCCCGCCTACAGGGCGTCACCCATCCTCTGGAACTCCCTACCCCAAACCATCAGACTATCACCTACTCTCCTCTCCTTTAGGCGCACCCTGAAAACCCACCTCTTCAGGGAAGCCTACCCCACCCCCTGCTAATTGCCAACCTCCTCCACTCTTCCTATAGCACTCCATCCCCCACAGCTATTTTCTCCTGTACCACTATCCCCTCCCTCCTAGATTGTAAGCTCGAAAGAGCAGGGCCCTTGAACCCCTTGTGTATCACATTGTATTGTTATCGTACTGTCGCATGTGCCTGTCTCCCATTGTAATGTACAGCGCTGAGCGAACTGTTGGCGCTTTATAAATACTGTATAATAATAATAACAACCAAGAAATGATCAAAAGCCAAAATCCAGGTGAACCAGCCTAAGAGGCGTAAAGAAAAAAAAAAAAAAAAAAAAAAAAGGGCGTTGAATAGCTACTTAAACATTTTGGCCAAAACTAACACATTCGCAGAGGCAGATATATCAACCACATAAAAAAGTCGAAAACATGTTGCAGAAGACAAGGTCACAGTTATACTGACCTGATGACAAAAGCC